CCCCCCCCAAAAAAAATAGGGTTGGCAGTATTTTCTAGGGACGGTTGGGAAACAGGGAACACAACATGAGACCTTAGGTACACAACTCTAGGATCAAATGTATGTAACGTAATGCTGAAAGAGACTAGTACCTCTACTATGCCTGCTATTCCTGGCTCCTTACAGTTACTGTGGTAGAAGAAAGCTTTGTGTCCCATCCTCATCTGGTCTCGCATGAAGTTACGGGCCTGTGGAGAACAGAAAGTTGTAAGTCTTGATTATTTTGATTTACTGAAATTGTAACAATAAAATACACGTGGAACAAAGGCAGTTTTTATTTATTTACCAGGTACCACATACCTGGTAGTTCCTGACTCCATCCCAGCATGCCGTCTGGTCGGGCTCAGCTTGTAGATCTGTGATCCCAAACTGTACAAAAACACAAGTCAGAATACACCAACCAATACACAATCATCTGTAAGTTTCATATGCTTTAACCCTTGTCTAGCCTATGTAACCCAAGGTCCGGGGGGCTCCCTACATAGTCCGCCACCCAAGATGTTGGGTGGCCGGCAAAAGCGATTTAATCAGGCTAACCCTTGTCCTGCTGACATTTTTTTTACACAATACAATGTAATAATTTGATTGATAACTTGACTTTTTTTTGCACTGTGGTGGCTTCCACATTCATTGCGTTTTGCTGTGGTGTCGTGCGTTACCCCCCCCCCCAATTGTACATACTCAGGGTGCTTTATAGATCGTATGTGGGACACATGTAAAGATGGTCTCTGAAGGACAAGGGTTAATATTCTTACAAGTTACATCTGAAGCAAACGTTCTAGTTGGATAGGCTTGATTTTGAAATTGTTTTAAGGCACATTACAGACATGGAAACCTGGATATATAAATTGAATTTTCAGATCATTTTCTAATATTGTAAGTTGTAAAAATCAACCATATCCCATATCATATTGATATCTGTGAGGCAAAAATGTGATGTCGCTGACAGAAAATGGTTGCTTGTATCATTTATAGGCTGGGTCTAGCTATACTTAATTGGTGATAAAGGGACACCAGGAAGTAGAGTGTGGAATTTACACTAATGGAGATTGTAATAAAACAAACAACAAACAAGCAAACAAACAAACAATACTGTAGATACCTTCACATCCACCCCTTTCTCAAGCCTAGTCTCTGGTTCTGACTTCATTAGCCAATGGGAGTAGGTGGGTGTGTCCTTGTTGTCATGGGAACTGGTCTTGGAGGAAGATTTTGGCTTGTGATCTGGGAGAGAATTTTCTTATGTAAGCCACTATTTCTTATGTTTACCGAAGGAAAACAGTTTGTTTTTGCTCTGTTTTCCACGATTCTTCTCCGAACCAAAAAGGTCAATGACCTGAACCAGACGTCTGTCACCATGGTGACTAGTGTTGCAATGTTATAGCACGAGAGTAAGAATAAACAGAGCAGAACATATGTGAAGGAAATGTTATGCATTTGCTAAAATGCAAATGTTACCTTCCTAGTTTAAGGCCGCAGAACACAGTATTTATGGGCGACCCCCAGAGTCTATGACGCGGGTATAGAAAGTAGTGCAGACAAACCTCTTGCATTCTGGCTATAGAGGTATCTATGAATGAACTGCACTGTGTGGTAAGGAAAGGTATCGGCTTGTACACAGTATGAGTTAGATTGTGAAGATTTCCCTAGCTGTTGAACGTGTATAAATGCGCGGCATTACGCAACCACGTTCCAGGGTGAGCCAGCTGCAGTTCCGTTGACCCCGGTAGAGGGCCAAATCAAAGTGGTCGTCATTATGTTAAAAAACGATAACTTTTTTTGGTTTTCAGTTATTTTGTAGAATATACCGTATATTTCAACATATTAGTTGGGCTTGATTCTCTAGTGCACCCTACTATAATTTTTACCGCGTCGAAGTGAGTCACCTCGTGGTGCTTAACTATAGGAATCCCCATAGGGCGAAAACTGGGTTCTGCCACCTTAAATTCAAATTTGAATATTTATCCTATGTGCATTTATAGTCAATAGTTCTAAACTTTAAATGGTCTAGATTTTTTTAGTACACACACAGCAACATAATAGGAATGAAAGGCAAATAGAGCATTGTGAATATATTGAAGAGCAAGCCTAAGACAGATACATATAACGTAATATTTGTGAAAACAAATTTCTTAGAGTTACACGCCCCCCACCCCCTAAGATAGCCTATTCATAAGTCTGCACATAATACAATAATAACCATACCGATTTTTCTCCGCTTTCTTGGGGGCATTTTGAATATCCTACACACAAATATCCTGTCAAAGTACCGGAATATGACTTCTTAATTGCAGAATATGATCCACTTTCTTCTAAAGTGTACACAACTGGGTCCGTATCACAATCTTTTCCCGCCGTTGTGAGGTCAAAGGTGAAAGGTCAACTGCCCGGATTATACATAAAGTGTAGTTACATGTTAGCTGGTATATATCGTTGTGTTCTCCTGTATTTAATACTTTTATAGAGTTTACTTAAAGGAGCATTATGCAACATTTCTGCAACAATTAATTACAAAAAAAAAAACTTCTTGTGATTGTAATTTTTCTCCACTTTTCTACATATTTGCAGAAGTCTATTTGTTAATACTAATAGTAACGTTAACCAGAATAAACATCATTGATAGTAAACAAAATATACATCGAAGAAAATAGCAACTTGCCGGGCTGCCAAATATATACAATAACAACAAACGACAACCGTTAAACTGATTACAGGCGGCCTTTCCTTGGCCCAGAATTCTTTGCAGGTTCGTCCGTCGGTGTCTCGAATGAACCAGTAGCAGGTTGGACAGCGGATTTGAGAGGAACATTTTCTTGGCGCGCGGTGGACACAATTCAGGCAAGGAAAGGTTCGTCTTTTTTTTTCTTCTAACCAGATCAGTTATTTAGATCACACTGTCTTAATTTTATGTCTGACATCTTCTGAAGACCCCAAAACTAGTGCGCGCGTGGGGAATAAAGAAAAAAATTCAAGCAAAAAAAAAAATACTGCTAAACCACAGCCAGAATGCCAAGCTGGAATTGTGAATTTGCGGTAGTACATACACATAGCGACGAATACGACAAGCCTCTTGATATTGCTGGTTATGAGATTGTTGAGATATCGTCACTATCAATTTCTGTTTTCCTTTTAGTCAGACGTGTATTTAGTCTAGTGTTATACTAGATTTGGTTAGACGTGTTTCCGCTAGCAGAAAGTTCTTTTCGGTTGATCAATAGGCACTTTACTATACAGCATTACTTCAACATGGGCATTAAGTAGCCAAAGAAGCACTCAGTTCTTCACATTAGTCAAGCTCTATACACGTTCTAAAAACCTTGGCACAAAAAACAGCAGGGCGCCGGATCAGGCCACACCAAGTAAATTTTATGGATGACGTCCTTTGGAGACCCTAAATCTAATGCGAGAGGGCGAAAAAAAAACAAGAAAGGCCCTAAAAAACAAGATGCCTAGATTAGAAATATACCAAGAGACGACAAATGTTAGGACACCAATTGAATGCGGTGACACAGTGTAACAATCAAGAAGTCTTTTATTCATCATCAAAACAGCAATAAATCAGGCGGAACAGCAGTTGTCGTCCTGCCCTGTTTTCGTGTTACGGGTTTCACGTCAATCTGACGATTTTCGGCACTGTCGTGACTCTTTGGTCATAGTTACAGGAAGCAGAATTTCTTGTTTTTTTTTCTAGGAACAGGCCAAAATCAATGCGCGCGCGGACATCATCCATAAAATTTACTTGGTGTGGCCTCATATAAATTAATTGAACGTACATTTTTTGTGGACACGAATGGTTGCTGTGTATCAGTAGACCCCTGGTGTGTGTTGTACATTGGTACAGATACCCATTATATTTTTCCCTGAACAGTTGAAAACAGTCCTTTTCTTACTACTTGTTACAGTCTTTCCATCTTTCAATGCAGTAGTATCATTAAAAGTTCAAAATTCATTGTTTAAATTTTGAACCAGCCTGGTGTGTTGACTTCATGGCTCCTATGGTACCATTTTGGGCCATAATAGGATGCCTAGGCCTGTTTTTTTTTTCGCCCGCCCGCTCCATTATTTTTCTAGAAAAATCCGTTAACCAAGAAATTAAATTGGTGTGGCCTAATGGCAGGCTTTTAGATAGCTTGAAACAACGCTTATAGTCAGATGTGCAACGGTAAGATGTGACAAGTGTGTTACTGCTATATATTCTGTGTATAGTAAATCATATTCAGGGTATAGTAAAACATATTTTTCAGTTTGTAACATTAATAAATACTACAATCGCATGTAGTAATCTCCAAGCAGATCTTTTGGTGACACTATCCAATTTATTTATTTATTCATTTGAATTATTTTGCAAGGTACCTTTTTCAAATCAAATGTTGTTACTAATTGATATTATTATTATTATTATCACTACTATCATCGTTATTGTTTTCATTTGCTGTTTTTTCTCATACTGCTGCCGACTTGTTATGTATCATTTATTACTTATCGAATGATTTATTATTTATCGTTGGCTCGCCGTTCTATTTACTTCAACGTTCATTATATGATTTGTTAATTCTTTGTCATCACCCTTGTAAATAGTGTTGTTATGATTTCTGTTGTTGTTTATTTTGTTTATTATTTATGTAATCCATATAGTTTATATTGGTGGGGGCTCTAAAAGGAGTATGGTCCTGTTTCCCCCAACCTTTTACATTTTTTTAGTTGTAATAAAGCTGAAATAAACAATGTAGACGGTATAATTGGCATGCAGTATCCAATACAACCGATAAAAGAACCCCTGGTATTTATAATTATAATGCATGAAAAGCCGAGGCATAAATGTACGTGAATAGTACACAATCAGGTCATCAATTCAAAAGGTGAAGAAAAAATAGTTTGCCTTCATATGAGCTTCTTTTCAGTTGTCGCTTTGTGGTATCCTACGGATATTTATGTCGATACGTAATTAGTAATTCTATACATTTTGATTCAATGCATTTACTCGTGTACTCGTGGTACTTTTTCCAAATTGCAGTAACCGCATGACTTGCATGCTTGAGCAGGATCTCAAATCAGCGAAGGTTTCGCCTCTATATAGGTTGTATTTATACACTTTACTTTGAATAGAAATCCAACAGTGAGGCAAGCATTTCTAATCTCCATACGTGACCGGAATGAAGAATCCCTGTTTATTTCGGTTTTTCATTCGAGGCTGCACACCCTCAAGCCTAGCGACCGTGTCTGACGTGGGATTATTCGGGAGCAAATCAACTGTATTTTATTTTTATTTTATTTTATTTTATTTTATTTTATTTTATTTTATTTTATTTTATTTTATTTTATTTTATTTTATTTTATTTTATTTTATTTTATTTTATTTTATTTTATTTTATTTTATTTTATTTTATTTTATTTTATTTTATTTTATTTTATTTTATTTTATTTTATTTTAATTCGATTGTGACGATACAATACACTGTCCACCCAGGCAGCATAGCTGATTTCGGGCGCCAAACAATACAAAGATTAAACATACACAATATAAGATACCAATACAGTAAACTAACAAGTAAAGATTAAGCTTAAATCAATCAGTTAACAATATAAAATACAACCAAGCATAATAAAGTACTCAATCAAGATAATAATAGCAATTATTGTTTTGGAGGTCAGAGGTCAAGGGCAATTGAATATAATAAAATATGTGAAGAAATATATACATGTATAACGTAAGATTGTAAAAGGTTAACTTGTGTGGTACCACGGGAAGGGCCATCTAAACGTTTTGTGGTGGAAATAAATGTTTTAAGTGCAAATAGTTGTTTGTTTGTATGCGTGTTACAGCCTGGTAGCCCCTGTAGTAGAACAGATTCGGTTAGACGGTGTGGTGTGAGTTGCTCTACTGTGGAGGAATCAACTGTATATGGAATAAAAGGATAACCCTTTAACTGCAAGACCAACTGAGTGTTGCTTCTTCGACGTAAATAAGCCTATTTTGGTAAAATTAACAGAAAACCATTACTTTTTTTATGTCAAAATGAAGGCACAAAATTGGGAATTCTCGCGTAGGATAATTTCATAGAAATAATTGTGGCAGAAATTAATAATGCTGGCCTACAGATATACGAACCATGGGTATACTCAAGTCAATCTACGATCTACGGCTCGAGGTGTTGCAAATCAAATCAAAGGACGCCGCAGAGCTCAATCTAGGTCAAACGGGCGCATCACTTTCGAATTCGACGCGGAAAAATACCCGGAATTATAAGTTTTAAGGCTAAAATCAATTCTCACCAAAACACATCACTTCTTATACTTTTCAGCCATGATAGTATCTAATGTAATTTGACAGAACATTTTGAGAAAACGGATATGAAAATTGGACCCTCAAAACCCTTTCGCCAATATTTTTACCGCGCACTATACTCCCAAGGTCGCGGAAGAATTGGAGTGTGCACCGTCAACCTGTCGGCTAAGCTTTCTGAATCGGATTGAATTCTGATCAGGACATTTGCTAGATCTTGGGCGAAGATCTAGATAATCTCCAAGCAGATCTTTCGGTGGCCACAAGACAATATCAAACAGTATCCACTTGCCACTATCTGGCTAAAGGATACTGCCTGGCCAACTTAATAATGTCTTGCGGCCACCAACTTCTTCTTGGAGTGTGAAATAAACACGTTGAGATGCTCTCAGGATCCAGCAGAATACTGGGTGTCGTAGATCGGCGTTGAATAATTGGCCCCATGTTTAAAAAATCGATACTATCCAATCTATCTTGTACCGATATGTATGTTTTAATGCTTTATTTGAAGAGTTAATACCAAAGGTTAATTATGTAACATAGTATTTGCATCAATCCAGTACTAATATTTCATTTAAAAGGATATTCGCTTGATTGTGATTTACTTCCACTTTTCAACATAATTGTGCAATTTTCTCACATTTACGACATCCATGATGTTATTTTTTTTAATTAAGACTCACACCTTTTGTTATGTTGGTTTTACTTTCATGTATATTTGTTTTGTTCTGTTCTGTACATTTGTTTCATTGTAATTTTGCGACTCCAGGAAGAATAGATTTCATGTAAATGGAGATCGAATAAACAAACAAACAAACAAACATGATAGGCGCTAGAAAAGCCTACACGAGGCACACCAGAATGTAGAATATAAACAAACTTGGCTGATAGCTGTGTTTCAAGCTTTTGAACAATCTCGTAAGGTGTCATATTTTGGCATCTCTACTTCCTGAACGGCATTTATTTGCTATGGAGTAAGGCTTTAATAATTTATATTTTAGGAAAATTCACCAAGTTTGGTGGTCCTGGCACAAGCCGTTCGGATGTTAGCCCCGCTTTGAAGAGGTATAACTGAAGATCAGATTAGATTCTTAT